CCCCCCCCCCCAAAAAAAAAAAAAAAAAAAAAAAACTGTTTGAAGAGTTGAATAATAATCCAGGCGGTCAAGGATTGTTTCAGTCTAATAAATCTTTCATGTCTCTGGTTGGTGGGATAGTCCTCACTGGTCTGAGAATCACTGGCTATAGACAAACTATTATCGTCTTTTGGGGGGTGGGGGGGCCGGGGGCATTCAGATTTTTTTTTTCTTGTGGGGGGCAATGCCAGCAGTTCCAGTTGATTTATTGATTTTTGCTCCGGGGGGTACTTGGCTTTCCCCGAGGGGGCACTGCCTCCCCCCCCCCGAAATTTAACTGAAAGAAACGCTGATGCCTTGCCCTGGCGTAGACACTGCATTATTTGTCATTGCTTGGAGGCGACGAATCTGTATTATGAACAAAATATTATCTTACCACTCAAAAATAAAATCAATGATTTAAAGTGAAGCGGTTTTTTTTAAAGTATCCAAGTCTTGAAATTGGTGCGTAATTTTTTTACTTATTTTATTTGGTTTTTTAAGGTGACTTTCAAAAAAGGGAAGTCACTGCAAAATTGGAAATATCAACAGTACTCTACAACCATAGGTCATATACGCCCTTGAATAGTGAACGGAACAACAACTAACAAGGAAAGCTATCGAAAAACTCACTCACACATATTCTTTTTCTTGTTTATCTCTCTTGGTTTTTTCTCTTATCAAGTTGAATTTCTCATACATTTTTTATATATTTTTTTTTAAGTCCACGTCACCATATATGTATATGATTGTGAATTTGTTTATCTTTTTTTTTTTCTTTATAAGGCTCAGTTCATATAATAGACACCGTTTTTAAAATTAATGTAAATTTGCTCATTAATTTCTTGAATAAACGCCAATTCTCCTACTCCTTAAAAGCATATAGGTGCGGATTTCACCGGAGCACTGGAAGCGAGTTATCGTTCAGTCAAGATTTCAGATACGACGCCTGAATGAACTGGACGTCATTAAAATTTATTTTCCAATTTATCGGGACACGGTTTCTTTCAGATGACATATTTTTTTTTTCAGATAACCCAAACATAATTAAAGAAAGTCGTTGGTGCAAAGAGTACACGACCAAAAGAGGTTGTCAATGACGTCACAGGAAGTCGTTGGTGCAAAGAGTACACGACCAAAAGAGGTTGTCAATGTTGTCACAGGAAGTCGTTGGTGCAAAGAGTACACGACCAAAAGAGGTTGTCAATGACGTCACATGAAGTGGTTGGTGCAAAGAGTACACGATCAAAAGAGGTTGTCAATGACGTCACAGGAAGTGGTTGGTGCAAAGAGTACACGATCAAAAGAGGTTGTCAATGACGTCACAGGAAGTGGTTGGTGCGAAGAGTACACGATCAAAAGAGGTTGTCAATGACGTCACAGGAAGTGGTTGGTGCGAAGAGTACACGATCAAAAGAGGTTGTCAATGACGTCACAGGAAGTGGTTGGTGCAAAGAGTACACGATCAAAAGAGGTTGTCAATGACGTCACAGGAAGTGGTTGGTGCAAAGAGTACACGACCAAAAGAGGTTGTCAATGACGTCACAGGGCGTCAAGTTGGCAACATAAGAACCTCTAAGGGCAGTGTGGGGGGGGGGAATCGACTTACAAGCCATATCATGTCTATCTTCTGACTAATGATGCGTGAGTTTGGTCTCGCTGAATTCCTGATGGAATGCAACAACAAAAACAACAAAATTATTTTTTTTTTTTTTAAAATCCCGCGCCATCTCAATCACCAGAAACGTTTCTTAAGCTACCGTAACCTCCAGACTCAGGCATTTCCCATTGTCCGAAATACGTTTCTCCCACCCTTATACTATATCACAGGAGCACAATCTGTCATCAAACATTTCACAACATCTTTCATTATCACCGACCTGTCATCACTTATGACAAAACAACATCACACTAATACAATAAGGACTCATGCCCGTGGTGTACGCTCTTGTACTATGCATGAAAACATACAGGTATACTCTGATTGATGTTGATACAAACTGTGTCGACTAGAAATTTTAAACTGAAAATCTCGTTTCCAAAAATAGATGACTGGCCCTTCGAATAACACCCGATTTCACGTTGCGGGCGTGTACTCTGTATTAATTAACAAGTTTGCGTATCGCAAGACGCCTGTCCGGTCACCGCATGTCCATAACGTGACTAGGTGTTAACTGGACCGTACCACACGGGTCGGAATTATTCCTGTGGTGTTTGTTAGACGCCAACGCCCTAGCGCTTTGCGACTGGCGTAATTTAAGCATTTTTTTTTTAAAGTGACCAGGCTTTAACTTTAAATGATGAAAGTCTAAGTCAGTAAGCAAATAATTATTGGAATAAAATATTAAAACTGGAATTTATTTCGTAGACAATTACACGTTTCAAAATAGAAGTGAATCTAAGCTGGACACATGGACACAGGATGAAGTTTTAAGTTAAGTTCATTTATTGATTTCAGTTTATTCATGTCATTCGATAGAACAATGAGATGATTATTAGTTGCATTATTTCAAAAATTTTTAAATAGTTCAAGGGGGGGGGGGAGGAGGAAGCTGATACATCCAAGGAAGTTGAAATAGAGCGTTACAGAAATTACGATACAATTTGTTCATTACAATTCTTAATCATTTATTGATTTCAGTTTATTCATGTCATTCGATAGAACAATGAGATGATTATTAGTTGCATTATTTCAAAAATTTTTAAATAGTTCAAGGGGGGGGGGAGGAGGAAGCTGATACATCCAAGGAAGTTGAAATAGAGCGTTACAGAAATTACGATACAATTTGTTCATTACAATTCTTACACTTTCATGACATAGGGTACCTCTCCTTCAGTATATGTTATCTTCAGCCATATTATTTTTTTTAAATTCAGAATCTCGTAGTGCATGTAGGCTTAAAAAAATAAATTTTTCACAATAGTGACCTCTAACCAACAAAACTAAAACCATCCGTAGAACACCAACAGCGTGACACCATCAATATACACCGCCAAAACACCATTCTAACAGCCAACACACCATCCATACACCGGCAACACACCATCCATACACCGCCAACACACCATCCATGCACAGCCAACACACCATCCATACATCGCCAACACACCATCCATACACCGCCAACACACCATCCATGCACAGCCAACACACCATCCATACATCGCCAACACACCATCCATACACCGCCAACACACTATCCATGCACAGCCAACACACCATCCATACACCGCCAACACACCATCCATACACCGCTAAGACACCATCCATGCACCACCAACACACCATCCATGCACCACCAACACACCATCCATACACCGCCAACACACCATTAACAAACCGCCAACACACTTTTCACACAGCACAATAACACAATTCAAACACCCGCCAAGTGATCACGCGGTGCACCTCCACCTGGTCTGATCGAACCCGTCAAGTCAACAGACATGTCTGGACAAATCGCCGAGACCACGTTGTACGACTGGTTAGTTCACAAGTACAATCGATTGTCTGAGGCATGTCCCATGGTTCGCCGTGTATGGACAGACAGCACGGCTGCCAGCTCCGTGCCTCTGTTGATAGGTTTGTTGTTGTTGTTGGTGTGTTTGTGTGTTGATGCCAGGGAAAACTCTAATCTCATAGACCTTTACCAGGAACTGATTCCCTTGACGTGACAAGTGCGACTCAGGTTTTCACCATGAAAAGGTGAGTGTAAACTGAGGGTGGTCGGCTAGCTTTAGAGCGTGTCAGCGAAAAACTGATGGTTATAAAACAATTAATTTCCCTGCTTCATCATTCTTGTTATAGAATAAAGTGGCTGTTGTTAAAAAGAATAAAGTGGCTGCGGGTCCTTTATATGGGGTATGATGCACTCATAATGACCGTTATATCAAGATTCACTTTGTAACAGCAGTTGGGGCCTTGTGGCT